TGGCCTAATTCATAGGTATGAGTTGCAGCTTGTGATATTTAATCGCCTCGTCCTACAGGCAACCTGTGTGCGTGTACGCGCGATGCGAGCATGCGAACCACCGGGGAAATGGCACGCTCTTCAATACATCAAGGACGTCTTAGAAGCAACTGAGCGCATCGCTGTGGGATGAGGCGTTAGAATTGCACACAGATCGAAAGCTACCATGCTCAGCAGGGTAATGAAAATAAAAGACCGACTTAATGTCAATAAACGATCTGGGATTGTGTATTTAATCCCATGCCTAAGCTATCCTTGTAATTACACAGGCCAAACTGAATGCATGCTGCCATCGTGAATACACGAACACAAGTTGCCTGTACGACAAGGCGACGAAATATCACAAGCTGCAACTCACACCTATGAATTAGGCCATGAATTCAACTTCGCTGCCGTCAAAGTACTCACTCACGCCGGAAACAAGACGAACCGAGAATTGATTGCAAACTGGTCCACGGACGGGAATTCAATCAACCGATGTATCGAGTTGGCTCCGGCGTACAGAGCCTTGTGCAATCACGTATAGTCACACCCAGACGTCCATCATAGTTAATTGGTCCACTAGCTTGCTAATTGCTCCAATTTTGGTTGCTGACGACCTGATGAACGTTGACATCACTGATGGTTCATCAACGTACACGTCTATAATTACCCCTTCCTTCCCTCCCTTTTTCATCGCAGTTTCTTGCCCCTTACGACCTGACGACCCCTGACAGTTGATTGGTGTACGCACACTATAATTGGCCCCTTTTTGTTGTTGTTTCTTATCTCTAACGATGGATGCCTGTAACGGTTCGAAGGCTCGGGATAATAAACAAACTGATCCGATGCTCGACAATCCTTCTTCCTTATCCATGTAAATGCCTCCAACACGAACGTTTTAATTCACTTTTTGTGTGCCATTTTTAATGTGTTTTCTCCCTTTACATGCAGATCAGTTCACTTTAGTGACTGAAATGTTGTTATCAGTCAACTTTGTTTTTAAAAAAATTAAAATGAAGCGAGATTCAAGGCAATCAGGTGCTGCTGGTTCGTCAACTGTCTGAGGTAAATTATGGCACTCGAAGCACGTCTTTGGAAACCTACAGTTATTCATATATCGTCCTGAATTCAAGGACCTGCAGCAGCAACTTCACACAGTATGTGGCTAAGCAATTGGTACTATCCATTTTTGTAATCTAACACATTGATATTTAATAATTGATGTTACTAGCAAATGTCAGTAACACATCTTTTTTATGTTTTTATAGTAGTACTCCGGCATAGACACCATTGATATTTGTTTGCGTATTCGTACAGCCATTTTACCAAAACGCTTGGTAAGGGTTCCTAATGAATATCACCATAGTTTACTATACATAAGTAACTACTTAGTCCATTGTAGTTTATTATTTAGTATATTTGTTAGTTTATTAATTTATAATTTGCTTTGAGTTTAATTTATTTTTCTCACTTCAGTTCTAGTTTAATTCAGTTTAAATTTAGCGTGGTTTAGTCTTTAGTTGATCACTTAGTTTTATTAGTTTTAGTTCAGTTTTAATTTACTTTAGTTTTTAGTTTAGGTTGTTTATTATAAAGTTTTATATTTATTTTCATTCCCCCTGATATACCCCACCCATCTAGCCCCTATAAGCACCGCTCTCGTATTATACAAACCCGTTTTTACTGTGGTGATGTTTATAAGGGAGCTTTACCACCATATTTATAAATGTAAGCCCATATTCAGGCACATCTGAACTCGTTACTCTTTGGGAGGAAACGGATTAAACCTAGAAAGTTTTACTAAAGAAGCCTTGTCACGCGAAAATGGACTTTGGGTCCCGCTTGAACCAACGGAAGGCAATCCCGAGGAAACAGGTTATTTTTCAAACAAAAGAGTTTTATCGTCGCTTTTTTAATCTCATCTATTGAAACCGTGTCCTAATGTATAGGTAATCCCTTATTTACACCTACTGATATTGTTCCGACGTTTGCAAAGGCATTATGAGAAACCACCAAACTGTCCTCAGTGGTCATTGACAATTTTAAGCATATGAAAATATAATTATCCAGTGCTCCAATTTCTACACGTACGCAATTTAGAAGCGGTTTTCATATGAGATTCATAGTTTGTGCAGTGTGTCAGCAAACAACTAGAGTTGCAAGCAATAAGACGCTAGTTAAGCGTTTTAAACAAAAAATAATCCCCCTCGTGGAAAGTTAAAATTTCAAATACGGAGTTGCCACAATGCATTGATTTTAATTCATCCCAAAATTCAGGCTTGGTTGCGCGCAAGCATCAGAATCTAGGGGAGGAAATAAATAATATTTAAACTGTGACTCACGCTTGGTTGAAAGACTAGAAGGCCTACCCTAAATACTTGGATCTGCATGCATAATAATTACTTTTGCAAAGGCACTTTAGCATACCGTACTTTAGTGTTCCAGCCCCCATTTGAAAGCTGTTATCGTTGAGAACGGGGAGACCGGATCTATTCAATTCCGGCTAAGTCGCCTTTATCAATCAGCTATACCCTAACTTTAGACTCTATGCTCAAAATTTGGACCTGACTATCCTGCGTTCCGCTTCTTAACATAGATTCAAGGGGTTGACCTAAGGAGACCCGAATTATTGGATTTGTGGATAGATGAGGTAAAGTACAAAAATAATCATATAACTTTCCTTTTTGGGGCACATTGTCTGTCAACCGTGAAGAGGAAGAAATGCTAATTATCAACGTTCTCTGTGAGCATGTTTTGATTAAACGTGAACGGTTCCTAGAGGACAAAATGTTATCGCGTTCATCTGTGTTTGCTAAAAACGGTCAATAGGCATTCCGCATTAAAATACAGTAGCAAGCAAAAAGTCATCTTCATATCTGTTTTTTAAAATGTGCAAAACTGTACAGGAATATCCGCTTCCGTATAATCAGCAGTGAAGCACCTCGAGTGAGTAATTCGAATAATGCAGACATCAACAACAGGAAAAGAAGACTGCCCTCATTGAAGGCGATGGCGTCCTTTGATACTTGTTACACGAGTGCATGAAAAGCATATAAATGCAAGCAATTGATGTTTTTAGTTCCTTCGTCTTCCAGCGAAGGGCCCATGCATAAGTGAGTGCAATAGGAATCATGTTTAAAACTGGAAGAAGAGAAGGTGTGTCGAAAAGCGCAAAGTTAAAAAAAATTATTGAAGATAAAATTCAGACGGATTGATATGGAGGAGGAAAGTTATTGAGGGAAGGGTAAATTAGAGATTGCCGTATTCCAGGAATACCACTGGTTTAGCCGAGTACCCGGCTGAGGGGCTGCGACTGGCATTTTTCAGTGGGGAATTTCTAACTGCCTCCGCAGCGCTATTTTTGAAGACACCGGTGGGGTAGGCAGTCGTTGGCGTAGCCACTTTGCTGCGTGCGGAACGATCCTCCAGAGTGCTCTGACCGTTCTCTTGAGAGATAGGAGACTTGATTTCGGCAACATCAGACGGATTTGACATTGTTTTTGACTGCTCAGGACGAGATTGAGAACAAGCACGGCCACCCGCCAAACCTCCTAGTGCCGTTGTACTTTGACCGGAGGTGCACATATTGCCCCGGGCCCTCGGCTGCACTGTTGGCGTAGGTGTCATGTGGGTCTCTCGCAGGATTCCCTCCCTTAATGGAATATCCGTACCAGTAAGTCGGGGTCATGGATTCAATCGCAATAAAGGCGAAAATACGTTCAAATTTCTAATTATATCCCAAGAAAAACACTGGTTTACTGGCTAATGGAAACGTTTTTTCTGCATATATAGGGTACTCCAACTTGTAGCTACTGAAGAAAAGCGCTATTTACTTCTTTTCTTGCGATGCTGAAATCTTCTGGAGAAGAACGGACACGTTCAAAAAGTCCGGCGTGCATCTCATAGATGCCAGCGGAGTAGTATCTGCACGTAGATGTGGCTATTTTTCAACCTTATTTTACAGCATTACTAAATCAAAAGAGATTTATGACGCTGGAATGAGCACCTACACTGTCATTTAGCTTATTATGTAATTACGATGAGGCACAAAATAACCAAAACAAAAGGAAATGTTCAGCACTAATCTATCCTGGTTGCAGGACAGACGGCAAAGCATCTCGCGTATGCACTGCTGGTCTTTATGAGCCCCAACAAGTGGGCTACATTGTCTCACTTTCAAAGCCGAGCGGAAATACAGGTTCTGTCCCACCATCGGGGTAGATAAGTGCCCACAACTGTCATATCATAGACAACTTCTGATCTTAATCATCCTGAAATGAGTTTGTGATGCCACGGCGAATCCTTTGTTCGATGATCAATCGAATCGCGTTTAAACACCGTTTTTGCAGCCTGGGGTTGGAGTACTTGCAGCTGGTGACCAGAAATAAATATGGGCTGTTTTTGTTCGTGTTAGTAGTACCTTTGATGGCGACTTTGCATTAATGATATTCTCGCTCGAAAAATAGGAAAATTAACATGAATGGTAAGAGAACCATAGGAACATGTGCCTCTGCGTTTTCTAGTACGGAAAATTCAAAATCCAATTCTTAGGGATAAGTCCTTTCAAGTAACAAAGAGGTTTGTAGCATGAGATATTTCCAATTGCGTTGAAATTATCTTTAACTTGTCAGCCAGGAATAGCTGAAAACTAATTCCTGCAGTTAACTTTACTGCAGGGTGAACAGAGTCGTGCTATTTTTCAATTAGCATATTATGCTTATGCAATTGAAGCTATACTTTTTGTCTTGAACTAAACTTCAAATTTACACTCACATCCGGGAGAGTATAAGCGTGTCTACAAAAGGTTATTTCTTCAAAAGCAATTGCGGGAAAAGTGATGATGCTCAAAAATTGGGCAAAAAGCTGTTAGTACGCAGTATGTGCTTCGCATTTGAAATGACACCGTATAATTCTGGTAAATAATCTGGGAGAGATATTGAAAATTGCTTCCTTTTTGTAAATTCAGCTAACTTTTGGAGATTACCAAGCCTTCGAAATCCTACAGGCAGTTTGCAAGAAAACTGTCTAGGAAAGCTCAAGTACGTTACCTCTTGGGAGTTATGAACGGTGACTTTTTTGGCTTATCGGAAATAAATATAATTGATTACTCGAAGTCAAATGTATGCTACGTAAAATAATAGTCAGTGAAAGCTAAGGTTGACTCGTATGGCCACCTAATCAAGACACGAAAACAGGTTTGGGTTAAGTTAAGGACAGGGTTTACAGTTAGATTTAAGGCAAGAGTTGGGCTTGCGGTCAAAATTAAGACTTGGGTTAAAGTTAAGTGTAAGATTTAAGTTTAGGGTAGAGTGATGGTTGAGATTACGGTTAGAGTTTATTTTTATGTTAGGTTTTAAATTTCCGAAAATCCCTATTGAAAAGTTTGGAAGATAAATTGGCTCTTTGACTATGTCTTTGATGACGAATCCGCGACGGATCTCGAAACGTCAGGCGAATAAAAGTGCTGTCCGAGCGATCGAGTCGTCTTCTTCTGATACGTTTGTTTTCTATAAATGCTCGTCAAGCCTTTACACTGATGTGGTAATTAAGTAAATAAACTATGCGAGTTGGTAGGAAAAATAGTGCGGTTGTCAGGGGCGATGGGGGGGGGAGGGATCGGGGTCAAATTCTGATCAGCGTTACGGGGGACGGGTGGCCGAGCGAAGTGGTAAGCTGCTGGCTGTTGGATTAGCGGCTTTCGGTCTCTGCGGTAGCCAACAGATGGTGTCGAAGGAATTTCAGATATCTTGAGGATACCGTGTAGATCACTCGGAAGGCCTCTTTGTCATTCACGCGATGGCCTGGACCTACCAAGTACGCTGGAATGGAAGTGCCGACCGGTCCTATGCGCCCTAAAACTTCGTTGCGGCACCGCAGTTATCATGGCCGAAAGCCGCTAATCCAACAGCAGCAGCTTATCATCTCGCTCGGCTACCAGTTCTCCCTAACGCTGATCAGATTTTTAACCCTGATTTCCCCCCCCTCCCCCACCTCTCCTGACAACCGCACTACATTTCTATTTACTTGATTACCATATAAATATAGAGGCCTGACGGGAATTAATCGAAAACAAACGTATCTTCGCCAATTAATCTTCTAAACTTTTATGTTAGGGTTAAGACACGAGAGCAGTTTCCCCTCCTGAGCTTCGTCGTAAGGTTATCTATTTTACGTGAGTGGGCGTCACCAACACTATGTCCTGTTTATGCGGCCCTACAAGTCATCCTTGCCAATGGAAGTATTAAGTACCTCGTTTATTTATTTCAGGGCCTTGTTTTCGATTTTCATATCTTATTAGGCGATACAACTGATTATACTATACAGAATATTTGACGAACCGGGGGAATCCACAAGATTATTCCTTTAGTGTCATATTAACCTTTCACTAAGCAAGTGTCTAATTCATCAGAAGCACACCAATAAACAGACAAAATACGTTTCCACTGTTCTAATTCTGGCTTTTTATATTCACGACCAGGACACGCATAGACGATGAAGTTCTGAGTGGATTCACTAGACTCAAAACCATTTCCATCGAAATACTAAAGATAGGACAAAATAGCAACATTTTT